TACATATTCAAAACTCTTGTTTCTCTTTTTCTTTCTCTAAGAATCCTTGCTGACTACGAACAATCCTCGAGGCAAAAGGTGAACCTGGACAAATCCGAGATTTCTTGCAGTAGAAATGTTCCACAATTAGTTTAGGGGGAACTTAAGCAACAAATGGGTGTAAGGGGCATGGAGTAGCATAATAGGTATTTGGGATTGCCTGCTATAGTTGGAAGAAAGAAGAAAGTAACGTATAGCAACCTTGTTGATAGAGTTGCAAAAAAACTGAAGAGCTGGAAAGAAAAAACCCTTTCACGAGCAGGTAAGGAAATTTTGTTGAAATCAGTTATTCAAGCTATCTCGACATACATTATGAGCTATTTGCTCCTCCCTAATGACATTTGCAAGAAAATAGAGGCGATAATGGCAAGATTCTGGTGGGGACAAAGTGATGAAGATCGGAAAATTCATTGTGCCAAGTGGATTACTCTTTGTAAGTCTAAGCAGTTAGAGGGAGTGGGATTTAGAGATATTCATAGTTTTAATCTGGCTATGCTTGCAAAACAAGTGTTGGAGGCTTTGCGGAGATGAAAATTCAACTCTATTTCGGCTTCTTAAAGCCAAATATTTTCCTAGGCATTCATTTATAGAGGCGAAGGTAGGGAGGTAGGCCAGCTTTACTTGGCGAAGTATCATGCAGGCTTGCTGGGTTTTAGAGAAGGATTCTCGATGGATGGTGACAAATGGCAATAAGATACGGATATGGACGGATAAATGGCTTCCAAATTTGGCTCATTCGCGTATTATGTCTCTTTCGAATCAGCTACATGAAGATGCGATGGTTGGGGAACTCATCGACCATCAGAATGTTTGTTGGGATAGAAATCTGGTTCAGTCGATTTTTTCATCTTTACAGGCGGAGATGATTTGTGCCATTCTGCTATCTTCATGACGGCTCTCAGATCAAGTAATATGGCCTCTTTCTAAAAATGGTTTCTTCTTGTTTCGAACAGCCTACCATCTTGCACTGCATGCAAAGTTAGAAGGTGAGGAGACTGGTACTTAAGCTGGTGTTAATATGGTGCTTTCGAAGGCCATTTGGAAGCTGCCGATAACACCCCCCCCCCCCCCCACCCCCCCGCCCCCACCCACCCACAAAAAACAAAAAAAGTGAAGCACTTTATGATTCGGGCATGCAATGATTTCCTCCCCACAAATTCTAGCTTAAGGCGAAAGGGAATGGATTTCGATCCAATATGCAAAGGGTGTGGTGATTCCGAAGAGAGCATGACTAGTGTTATGTTTGAATGCTCTATTGCTCGCCTGGTATGGAAACCCTGTCCATTGCACAATGAATGTGGTGAGAGTGTTCCTTCTTTTCAATTATGGTGTATGGATTTGTTTCAAGCCAGAATACAAGAACAAAACGCAATGTTTTGTATGATCTGTTGGTCTCTGTGGAGAAGTAGAAATATGATTTTATTTCAGAAAAACCGAATGTCAATTATGCAAGTGCCTCACATGGCAGTCTCCCTTCTGACTAAATTTCAGTAATATAATGAAGGTGATGCTCAGGCGCAATTGCTGACTATCTCGCCAGGCCCAGCAACTGGTTTTGCTCCAATTTGGAAGGCACCTCCTGCTGGGTTGTTCAAGATCAATTGTGATGCAGCAATTAATGGAGGAGGTTCTTGTGGTTTTGGGATAGTTTTTAGGGACTTTACAGGGGCAATATTAGCGTCGGGCTATTAAAAGGTCATGCAGTTGCTGTCACCGGAAGAGGCAGAAGCAGAAGCGATGATTTTTGCGTTGCAGTGGGCGGGGGAGCTAGGCTTCTTGAGTGTAATCCTTGATTTAGATTGCCAAGCAATTGTTAATATAGTCAGGTCCATGGATTTCCCTCTTTCTGAATTTGGTACTAGACTTCTACAGGTTCTTGCTTTGTTAGATGTGTTTCTTGTTGCTCATATTTCTTTTGCTAGTAGAACATGCAATAAGGTAGCTCATAGTTTAGCAAAACATGCTCTCTCTATTGAGATTGAGGGGCAAATTTGGATGGAGGAGATACCGCCTTTGTATCTTGCAATTGTAATGGCTGATATAGCCACTTTGAGCTCTTAATGATATTCGTTTTTTCTTCTCAAAAGAAAAAAAATATATATGATTTGAGTTCAATATGTTAAAACTTAAAAATATTATAAGCAGGTTTAGTGGGTCGTATATAGATGAACATGATCAATTTAATTTGTTTATGATATTAGCCGGTTTACACATGTCATGTTCATATTATCTGTCTAATTTTTGTGTCGTGTTCGTATCGATAAATTTGACACAATTATCAAATAGGTCGTGTTTGTGTTAATACTAATCATGTCGCATGTTAGGGAAATTTTGATACCTCAACTCGTTTCGACACCCCCTAGTTATGGAAAAAATAAATTTGAATTTATTAAAATGAATAAAAGATTAAAATCAAAAAGAGATGAAGCGAAAAGAATAATATAAGCAAAAAGAATAGAAGGTACAGGCTACTGCTGATAAACAGCTGACTACGTGTAAAGAAATGATATAAAAGTTTTAAAATGCAACGATAGGAGACATATTTATCTTTTTTTTTTTTTTTTTTTAATTAATGTTTAAAATTTACATCACTTTATTTCTTGCATTATCGTTAATACATTTGCACGCAAGGAAATTTAGTTCATTTAAAAGAAATTTTGTAATAAATGAATATATTCCGTATTATGTTGCAGATAGAAAGAGATTAATTATAAATGTTAATTTTTGGCAAAGAGAGAGAGAAAAAACGTTAATTATATTTCTAATTATAAAATAACAATCGGTAAAAAAAAAAAAAAAAAAAAAAAAAAAAAAAAAAAAAAAAAAAAGAACAACAATGTTAATTATATTTAGTAAAGAGAGAGAAAGAAAGATAGAAAAGTGAGGAAAAGAGGTGTAATTAATGAACATGTGCACATGCAGATGGAACCTTCGTATAAGATGAGAAGAATCAACTGACAGGATAATAGTCGATGCTTACATGGAATTAAGTTGAATGTTTGTTCAATCAAGTCAGCTTTCCCTATTCTTCATTACCGAAAAATGGCTAAAGGGAGTTTTATGTTATAAAATTAAAGTTTAGGGAGTTTAAGTGATAAATTGAAGTTGAAAGATGATAAAGTGATTATATCTAAGTTGAGCGACGAGGGATGAAAATAAGCCTTTATCTAGGCTTTGATTCTTCATATAGATCCCAAGTTCTCCAAATTTTTATTTGCTAGAATTATAAATGAAAAACTTATATTTATGCATTCTAAAAAAAAACATTTTTGCACACTAATTTTCAGAGCTCATGTTGTTGAATTGGCTCATGTTATGTCTGTCCTTTTGTCAAACATGCGGTCTGCATAAATGAATTTTCTTGCCAAAACCTTCAACATCATATCTTTAGGCTTTCAATTTTCGTAGTTTCCATTTTTTGAGGTTAATTTAAAAAATGGATGTTTCAGATTAGTCAACCAAATAAGAAGAAAACCTCATGTAGGCTCTTACGTTTGTATATAATGTTAGCATTTGACTTCAAACTTTTGCAGAACCTAACTACATATTTCACCTACTTTTCCCATCTAAATTTCATCCGGTTCACATATTTGGAACCTCTCCCTGAATAATATTTTCTTTACTCTAAAATTTAACCCTTTCTTAAAAAAGGAAAATATATTCCATTCCAAACACAAGAATGAAAAATAGCTGTGAAAAGAACTCTTCATTATTTTACTTCCACTCCTTTCCAAACAGAGGATTAGAGAATATGTAGAGACAGGAGATGCGAATTTAGCCCATAGTTGGCCATCAGAAATTCACGGCCCATAAATCATGTGACCCATAAAACAGTTGGGTAATACATCCATAGTTTACAGAGGGAAACTCACAGCCCATATGAGCACAAAGGAACATGCTATATGTGGACGTACATTCACGGTACCACAAGTGACGGAAAAAAATGCAATTGATGACACAGGCTATGATCTAAGGAATGAAATGAAAAAAGTTTGATGAATCCAAGAAAGGTGTGAAAAAGTCCTCTCCATCCCAAATTCTTCATTCACCCACCAGAAGCCCTATCTGATATAAAATCTTCTCATCCAACACATTATTTTGATGTAACTGTTATTTGACCTCACCAAAATAAAACTCCATTTGCTCAGTGCTATAATCATTGAACAAATTATAAAAAAAAAAAAAAAAAAAATAAAAAAAAAAAAAAAAAAAAAAAAAAATGCAGTCAAAACCTAGGGATTTTCCCAAGTGGTTAATCATGGAACCCCCACATCAATAAGGCTACTTGAACACCCGAACCACCAGGGAAGTTAAAGCTAAATACTATAAAGGAGAATGGTGGCTTTATGTTTGCTAGTAATGACTTGTAGCTCATTAAAGCTGCGAGCTGGCATGCATTGTTTCAGATATGGACGCAGATAAAAGTATTCCTATTTTAGCTGCCTCATGAAACTAATCCCTAATGGAACATAATACTGTCTAATATAATTAAAGACATTTTTAGAGCAATTTTATACCAGAAATGAATTTAATTACATTCCACTCCATTGCATTACAAATACAAGACCGATTTCATGTTTTTCAGTGAAAAGCTACACCGTCCCGGGGGTTCACGAGTCCAAATGACAAGTACCAACTCTCATAGGTCATAGCTAAAGCATTAATAGCAGTAAGTCCCTAGTCCAAAAAATTCAAACGCCAGACTCGTACGCCTTAAACAAATAATGATTAATAATAATAAATAAAAAAAAAAAAAAAAAAAAAAAAAAAGATCAGCTGATATACGCATCGAGTAAATGCATCATTGGAATTTGATATTTATCCATATTGTGTTATTTGATTACCAGTCCAGAGTTAATTCGAATTCAGAATAGATTCGGAGGCAATAAGACATTAAATCAACATACTCCTTAGTCCCGACTCTGTCAAAACACTTTTTCAATTCGGACCTTGGAAGAGACTTTTCCACACATCGAAACAGATTATTATCTATTGCAAAATATAAAATGTATTGCGCTTGATTGATTGAAAAACAAACAAATACCCTGCTCAGTTCAACATACAATAAAATCCAACTCCATACTGGCTTAATAAATCTAAATCCAAATCCAAAATAAAGAAGGTAGGCATCTAACAATCAAATCTTCCAAAGCTAATGCATGCTTCATAACAGTTTACTTGATCTTCTTCTTTGGCCTCAACTGCAGTGACACAAAGTGGGTTCAGGTTCTCGAAAGTGGGTTTTTGAAGCAATACCAAAAAAGCAAATACAGCATGGCAAAAATAACAATCATAATGAATGTTCAATTCAAAATGAAAATCACCTGATTGCTATGCCCACATTTCTTCTTCCGGCAGTTCACAGCCCTAGGATGCAGACGAGCATAACACCTGCATAAAATGAAAAAGTTATGTTTATTAACTGAAGGCTGCAGTTAAATTCCACAAGTTATGATACTACTTAAAACACAATATGTACAATACTCTCAAGAATATTTCATAAACACATACTACAGCATCAGAGCAGCCAAAGTCACAACTGGCAAACCAGCATTCATATCTATCAACCAGAAATTCATCATATCTATCACAATACACTACCTTAAGAGTCACTGTGAAAAATAAAACGGAGAGAATATATGCCTCTTCAGACACTCTTACCTATACAAAGATTGTATATGCACATTTAGTAGTCTTGTCATGATGAAACCACCCATGTAATAGACATTGTCATTATCTTAACATGCATTACACACATAAAATATAACATTCATATACCATACAAGAAAATCAACTGTAACTAAACAAGCACAGTTGATAAAGTTGAGAATGGAAATCAATCTTGGGACAAGGATGCCCTCCGTTGCACTAGTAAGAAAAAGAGGGTTCAACACGTAGTCCCACCACGAAACCTAAACAAATGAACTAAAAGGTTTCATAAGCACAGACAATTCAAAAATATCTGAAGGAACTGATTTTAATTGTCCTGGTCAACAATTCAAAATGGTTCAGTTTAGTTCCAAAAGAAAAAGGAGCAATTGCATCCAGACAAACTTAGTCTATGATAATGTACCAGCCATGAAAATCAACTGAAAATAAATAATCCCAGCTGACAAAGTTAAAGAATGGAAATTAATGTTGGGAACTGGTATGACCTCTAGCGCATTACTAAGAGCAAAAGAAGCTAAGTAAGTTCCCCTGAATCATGTTATACAACAAACAAATGCTAATAAACTAAACAGCTAAAAAATTTAACAAAACTAAAAAGAGGTTTCAATAAAATAAAATTCAAAGAAAAGAGAAATGAAAGACATACTTGCGGCAAATCATCTTGTCCTGATTATATTTGCGAGCCAAAGCCATAAGAGAAGGCTCAATAATACCTCCCCTAAGCCTCAACACAAGATGGAGGGTTGATTCTGCAAACAAATAAATAATAGATCTAAAATGTCATTTACTGTTTGATTATGTGGTTGATTGAGATAAAAAAAGAAAACAGATAAAGACAAGAGCAGACCTTTCTGGATATTGTAATCCGCCAAAGTTCGGCCATCTTCAAGCTGCTTTCCGGCGAAGATCAATCGCTGCTGGTCCGGTGGAATTCCTATTTAATCATAAATTCGTTTCCGATTAATGGCATCGAAAATGCAAGAAGATAAATAGAGTAAAATGAAAATTTTCTCAGCAAACAAATGGAGTAATAGGAAACTTTCGATAGGTGAAAATAAAAGTGAATACCTTCCTTGTCCTGGATCTTGGCCTTGACATTGTCAATGGTGTCGCTGCTCTCTACTTCGAGAGTTATGGTCTTCCCGGTTAGGGTTTTCACGAAAATCTGCATCTTTGCTCTCGCTCTTTCTTCCTCCCTGTGTCTGCTGGTTGTAATGGTACCATTAGGGTTTTATAGTCTGGGTTCTGCGAGCTAGGGTTTCAAAGTCATTGGGCCATTTTCTGGGCCAATGGATGAGTCATTTTTTATGAAATTGTCCTAAGTTCATAAAGCCCACATTTAGAAGGCCCATCCACTCCATAAAACTAGGAAGTTAATACTCAACATTCCAACTTATGCAAAACTATTTTTACTTTATTTGCTCATTTTTGTTTCTATTGATCGAGTAGTTAGTTGTGCACCTTCATCGTTATGTCTCTAAAAAGAAATTATTACTTGATCTTTTATTCTCTGTATTATTTGTTTTAGTATTGTCCTCACAAGCATTCTTGCTTTACCAAACAAAACCTGAAAATATTTGTAGTTTGGACTTCTCAGCAAGAGTGCCTCATAAAATATCATACAGAAATAGTAAGGGGAGAACATTTCATCAAAAAGATAAATTATTCATTAATATGTGTTTATTGACAGACTTCATATTGCTATAAGAAATAAAAATAATGTCAACAATACTTATTTTATCATAGATCCCTTGAAACTAGAACTACAGCGATGCACTTATGATGCTGAAAGGGAGGCAATCTTAGGCGCCACAATCTCCAGAAGACCCTTTGGATTGTCCACATGAACCCAGTGCCCCGAGTTTGGAAGAATGTGAAGTGAAACCGTACCCTCAGATCCATCTCCTTTCTTATTGTCAAGACTTTCAAGTCGCTGAAGTATTTCCCGGTCCCAGCGGTCACTGTTCTCTGCAACCACAATATCTATCTCCATTCCTTTCGGTGGGTGCTCCAACAAAGACCAATATGATGTCTCCCTGAGAATTTAACATTCATTGTTTAACTAAGAAGAGGAAAATGAACAGAAGCAAAGGATGGAAAGCAAGAAACATAAAATAAAACGGAAACATATCATTATTGCATTGTTTATTCTGCATAGGAAGCCATTTATTGATTTATTAGGAATACAGATTCACCTGTAAGAATTGAACATCTGGATAGCACCTTCAAGATTAAAAGCCCATGTCTCCTGCTCTCCAGATTTCTTGAGATTGCTACCAATCCACTCAGATAATGACTTTGAGAACCCAAGTTCAATCATGTGGTTCACAAGCCACCTGAAAACAGAGATATACAGTGCAAAATTAATTTTTAAAGGACATCATCTAATTTAAATTCTATTGAGGTCAGGCGAACCAGAGCACAGAAAAACAGAATTCGTTTTCCCTCTTTTTATTTCTTTCTATTACTTTCAGTAAACAAAACCTAGTTAAATTAATTTGCACAACTGCCACCTGTCTAACATCCTCCACAATCAAAACAAACTTTTACCATTAGGCAAAATATAGAAAAGAGCTAGACTACCAAAATTCATTTTCACAGTCCTGAATGATTGAACCTTTCTACATCAAAAATTCATGCCAAAAGTCTACAATGCTGCCATTTAAATCATCTTATACCAAAAAAAAAAAAAAAAAAAAAAAAAAAAAAAAAATCTAAGGCAAAATATTAGAAAGAGCTAGACTACCAAAATTCATTTTCACAGCTCCTGAATGATTTTCGAACCTTTTCTTACCATTCAAAAAATTCATGCCAAAAGTCATACAATGCTTGCCCATTTAAATCATTCTTATAACCAAAAAAAAAACAAAAAAAAAAAAAAGATAAACATTAATGTATAGCGCTCCATGTTACTTCGTGAAGTTTAACTAGTTATTAGTGATCTTAGACTCAAACAAAGCGGTATAAAAAAAAAAAAAAAAAAAAGATAAACATTAATTATAGGCTCCATGTTACTTCGGAAGTTTAACTAGTTATAGTGATCTTAGAACTCAAACAGCGGTTTATATCAGAGATCAATTTATGCACTCATTGCCCATCTCACTTTAACTTCACATTACACTCTATATTTAAAATAATTAATATAAGAGAAACCTTAATCTGACAGGGTCACCAAAAGTAAAATGCCTAAAAATAACTACAATAACCTCTGTATCTAGACGTAAACCACAAGTGCATCAGACATGCAAGTAAACCTTACGGATATAGCACATAATTGCAAGCAGGGATGATTTACTTTCTTGAAGGAAGTGATGAAGGCAAACTTTGCAAGGTCTTCAAGACTTTCTCCACTTCTCCATCGCTGTTTTTCATGCTTGCTTCTCCAGGGACGGAATCCAAAACCCACAGCTGTTCTGCATCAAGAATAAAAAATGAAAGCACATAAATTTCCTAATGTGAATACAAAGCATTTGTTATCAATCTTCCAAAAGAAAAGGATACTCAACTAAATGCTTAGCATCCTCCTAGGCTAAGTACATGAAAAAGAATAGCTACTATAAAAATAATCTTGCCATGGACTTCTATATATAGAAAAATTACATTAAATTTAAGAACTTGAGGTACTCCAGGTCTTCTCAATTCTTATATCAATGCATGAGAGTTAATGCTGAACAAATACATTATATTGGATCATTGTTTTTTTCATAGCAATTGATGTGAAACTAAATGAGGATACCTGTTTGGGCAATGCTACGGAATCCCCATAATCACCACGAGCACAACTCTGCGCAAACTGAAGGGCGACTTTGCCACCCAAGGAGTGACCAATAACAACATCAGGCCAATCCCAACCTTGATATTTAACTAAATTAGCCAAATCTTTGGCCGCATTAAACATGTCATGGGGCGGATCGACACTTCTGATATCAGCCGATTTTCCATGGTTCCTCAAATCCACAAGCACCATTCTCCATTCTACTCAATAAAAAAATCACGAAGTAAGGCAAAATTCGCTTAATTTAAGGAAGGAGAGGGATAAAGAGAAGGGAGAAGGTACCAGAGGAATTGGAGAGATAGGAAGCGAGATTGCGAGAGAAGGAACGCCAGTTGCGGCCAGATCCCAAGAGGCCATGGAGAATAAAAGCCGTTGAAGAGTATGGTTTGTCCGTCGAAGATCGGACCTCTTCGAAAGCTAGGGTTTCAAGCTTCCGTGTGGTTGTGTAAATAAAAGATGGACTCTGCCAATGGAGGAACCAGGACAGGGGCTTCAAACCGGTTTTGCTTTTTAGAGTTGCCATTACGAAGACTCGACTTGCTCGTTGAGGGTTGAGCTGCCTGCTCCTTCCTCCCTTCCTTGCGATTCTTTTAACTGATCAAGTAGAAAACTGAGGGATAACGATGTCGTATTGGAGGGTTTTCCCCCTTTCCGGATTATAAAGAGTATCAAATTGATTCTTAAATTTTTTCTAATTGTTGCAATAAAATATTTTTTCTGCTTCATTGAACCTAATTATATATACTCTAAAATGGGGGGAGTTGCACTGTTCATCAGTGGCACACCCTTCCACCCTTCTGCTCGAGCATTTCATATACTTTTCGGTGTTAGCAAAGTGCGAGTGTACACATTTGGAATAGTGATGAGCATGTATTGAGTAAAAGTAGGCTTTTGTGAGTTTGAGTATGATTGATGTTTTGAGAGTAACTTATTTTTGTGTCAACCATGCAAATTTGCTTTATTGAATGATCGACACATCCTTAGCTGAATCATAAACACAATAAACCAATGGTTTCTATTTCTCTCTTTTATTTTATATTTCTCTCTTTTTTTTATATAATATCATCTTCTTCTTTCTCTTCTTTTTGAACCCGGATGGCTATATAATTATAGTGAAAAACATGACTTTCCCTTTTCATTTTTTCTCCAATGGTGATTTCCTTTATGTTCTGTGGCACGGAGTCGATGAAGGAAGGAAGTACGTGACTGTCGCTTCTTCCATGGTAGTTTCCACGGTCGTCAATGACTATCTACCTAAAGGTGAGCTTTGATTAACTCACCTCCTAGTTTACTACCAATATATATTATGAATTTCAAGTTAAACGTAGAATCTTCAAACTGAAAAATCTAGGGATTTTGCAGCTACTGTTCATGAATGGGAATAGAAATTTTGTTTAGTTTAGAAATAATTGATATTATAGACCAATTCCTTGCTAAGTAATGAACTTTTTAAAAAAATTTTTAATTGTATTTTTTACTTAATACTTTTTTGTTTATAATCGTTAAATTGTTCTCTCATTGCTTATCAAATTTCATTCTTTGCTTCTTTATATAAAAATCACTAACATAGAGAAAATTTTTAAAAAAATGTTACACAGTTCATGCAGATGGCTTACCAAGACGCTTGGCCAATCTGCCACCCTGATGTCAAGCGGCTATTTTTTAACTTGAGGATGCTTGTGAAAGATTCGGTTGGTTGTTATTTTGTGATTCAATTATGATTGTGGGTGCCTGACTCTGTTATTTTGTATTTCCATTTCATTTGTTGTTTGGCTGTGGAGAAATTTTTATTTCTTTATACTACTATATTTATGAATTTCTAATGTTATTGCCCGTTAAGTGTGACATTCTAAGCGAATCTCGTATTGATGGTAGTGATATATATAAGGATAAACAAACTCTAAACTAGCAATAAGCATTTTGGATTATGAGTTGGTTGTAACCCAAGAACAAATCCGTACAGAAAAGGCCTAAAGTGAACAGTTTTTTGCTAGGTCTGGAGTGTCACACTAAGATTTTTATTTATGTTTGTTTAACTGGTGTTATGCAGTTTGATATTATGCAATTTATCACTTAAATTTGGTGCAATTTATTACTTAAATTTGGGTGCACAAAGATGTTGCAGATTGTTGGTGTTACTTATTAAGAAGAAAATATTGAAAAGAATAAGGAGTTGTTTTATACTTAAAATAGAAGCTGCTCGATTCTAAGGAAGAAGACTAAAAGATTGTTAAGGAAATATTGCTCTCTGTTTCTAAGCAATACTTCACTTTAATTAATTGCTATTTTTTTACTCCAGAAGTTTATTCATATTGCTTTCTGAAAAGTATGAATACACTTTAGTTTTATATATATATATATTTAAATTGCTTTCTAGAAAGTATTATTTGTCTCACTTTTTTTTTTTTCTTTAAAGATGTTTGATGGGTGCAGATAGAGAATTGCGCTTGGAGAGAAGGGTTCTTTGGCGAACATGTGTCAATCTTAATTTGGATTTTTTTTTTTAATCTTCTGATTCTTTCAAATTTTTGAGAGTTGATCATCCATAAGCATGCCTCTAAATTTAGTTCATTTGCATGAAGGTGACTTTGAGATGAAACACGTTACTATCTCTGTTTTATAATATTTGTTATATTTGAAATTTTACGTTTTTTAGGAAAACCATTAAATTTGTCTAAGTTAAAATAAATTATTGAGCAAATTAACTATATTACTCTTACTTTAAAAATAGAGGTATGAATAAATAAAGAGAGAAAAAATCTTTTTAAAGAATTGAAGTAATAATTATTTGTCATATACAAATGGTAAACATGGAAGAAAAAAATTTATTACTCCTTGAAACCATAAATGTGATAAATATTTTGGAACGGCCACAAAGTTACCCTATATTAACCTCTTCTTTAAAAATAGAGGTATGATATAAGAATAAGACAGAGAAAAAATCATTTTTACAAGAATTGCAAAGTAAAAAATTATTGGTTCATTAATTACAACTAGGATAACACTGGAATGACAAAAAATTACATTACTCTCTCGAAAACCATTAAACTCTCATAAATATTTTTGGACACGGAAACATTTTGTTTAAAATGTGACAACATATATTATGGACAACGGGATGACAATAACTTAATAATTATTTGTCATATACAAATGGTAAACATGGAAGAAAAAAATTTATTACTCCTTGAAACCATAAATGTGATAAATATTTTGGAACGAACTATTTTTTTAAATGTGACAAATATTATGGAACGGAGACAATAATAGATAGGGTCACAATATTTTGTGGATTCAACTTAATTTAGGTACTTAATATTTCTCTTTATCATTAAATTAAGAAAACATTTCGCTATATAGTTATAAATGAAGGAAGTTCAAATCAAAACTTATACCACTAAAATATAATATATTCTTCATTAAAACGGTAAATATTAGGGATGCACGTGAGTCTAGTTTATTGATTTAAAGTATCTAATCTACATTATACAAGTCAATGATTTTTTTATCCAATTGTTTGAATGAGTATAAAAGATGGGTGGATACAAAATAGAGGGTGAAAATTTCTTGAGATTATTAAAATCTCTTGTTTGGTTTGGGTGAAAATATCAAAAATATTTTACATCCATTTTAGCCTAATTTTCACCCTATTTTGGGAGAAAAATGAGTAATGTCATTTTACACCTTTATTTTACTTCTCTCTCTTCTCAAACATAGCATAAATGTGTAAACCTGAGGATTATGAACATATTGAGTTGGATACGAAGTTCAATTTAAAGCAGATGGTAAAATAAATAATAAATATAATGATATTCTTAATTAAAATGGTAAATATATAGCAATTTTTTGGCAGGGGATGAAAGATGTTTTCTTTGAAGTTGAATTTTAATTGGACTCCTCAACTTCTCGTTTCTTTGTAAAAAGTAAATTGTAAACATGAACGGGCAATTACATCGATGAGATTGTTTTTAGCTATATATAGAAAGATGGTTTTAATAGATGCAATATGCAATGGAACCCAAATCCATGTCAAAATTTTTTGATGAGGTTTTTACAAGGCCAACCCATTTGACATGTCACATCTCAAAACGAAAAGCCATTACATCTCTTCCATGTTCACCTATTTGCCATTTTCTCTTAATTGGAAATTTGCTAAGCACCATGCTCCTTTTTGGCATCTTTCTTATTGCAGCTAAATTAGTAATATACAAATTGGTTGCAATATGTATAAGTACAAGAAAAAGGGAGTGAAAAAATATAATTCATACTTTTCATTTGTTTCTCTAAAATAACTTGCAGTATAATATTTTTTATCATTTTCCGTTGTTTGAAATACTTAGAAAAATAAGTCAATAGAAAATATTTTACTGGTCAAAGGAAAATTAAGTTATTTTTAAAGAAAATGACTTTTCATTTTCAAGAGAGTAAAACATTTTTCAACATTGACAAACTTATTATATTTTTATAACTGTATTTTTTTAATATATTAATCACCGGTAGCCACTACCACTGCCATCAATTATCGGCCACCGCAACTTCACAATTTACCATATTTGCATTTGTTCTCATATTTAACAATAAAAATTTTAAGATATGAAATTTCATTATTATAAATATTTTTATGGTCTTAATCTTGAGTTAAAAATTTTAATATTTTTTAACTAATTTTCAACATTATAACTGAAAAACGGAAAATAAGTCATTTGAAAAATATTTTCAAAGGTAACAAATGTAATTAATAATTTTAGAATTACTATAAGGACTACGGAGGCCAACCAAGGGAGAAAGGCTCTTCTTTTTCCTAACTTACAAACGTCGGGCTTTGGGTGGTTATTAAGACTTGAGAGGGAGATTATACATAGATGTAGAAACATAGGCCAAATACATAAATTCACAACCCTCTTATTTTCTGAAAAAATTTTATGACGTTTCTCATCATGCTAGTAACAATGATTTTTACGATTTGTAGCTTTTTTTTTTATGAAATAATTTATTAGTTGATATTATGATTTCATTACTAAATATTCTTTTTTCTATATGATAAATTTTGATAGTGGGGCTCAACATTTTTTAGTTACATTGACCAAATTATTTGATTTCAAGCAGTTTGATTCGTTTTGATTCACTTTTTAACGTATATGATTTGATATCAATTCTCATAAAAATAAAAAAAAAAATTTCTTTGGTTCGATTTAGTTTTCATGAAGTACAGAAAACAAGTCCAAAACTTATATAAAAAAAAAAAAAAAAAAAAAAAAAAAAAAAAAAAAAAAAAAAAAACTTATATAAAAAAAAAAAAAAAAAAAAAAAAAAGAAAACGCTAAAAGACCAAATTGAATTAAAATTAAGAATAGAAACAGTTTGTTTCAAAAAAAAAAAAAAAAAAAAAAAAAAAAAAAAAAAAGAAAAAGCTAAAGACCAAATTGAATTAATTAAGAATAGAAACAGTTTGGTTCAATTATGTATATTAATTCAATTTGATTTGAATTTCAGTTTAAACATTGCGGTCTATTTGATTTAATGGTTTGATGGTATCTTTTTTCTTCCATCATATTAAGCAAAGTTGTATTTTATTTGCAATTTATTTTAGCTAAAGTAACAAAATCCTGCAGTTAACTTTGGATCCTCCGTGAAAAAAACCTCCATTGATATAATGATGAACCTCTTTCATGTTTTTTGTATTTTTGTTTCTTTGGAGAAGACAAAATCATTGTTGTCCAGCCTGTTCTACATCATCATTTAATATTAAATTGCATAATTATTGTGTAGTTCATTTGATTCATATGTTTATTTGTTTTTTCTCATTTAACATTAGTACTATATAATAGTAGTCTCGTTGACTTAATAAATTGGTGAAAACTCTTGTGATCGAGAGAATTTAAACTCAAAACATTTCATTCTTCTCTCACACGCAATTAAAGTACAAATGGCAATCAGTCATCCCATCCAATTTGATAAGACTCCGGCTCTAAATGAAGCAGCAATTGTAGCAGCATCTATTAGACATATTCAACATAATAAAATGAATTCATTATAATTATACTAAGACTTATATTAATTTTATGTGGTATAATTTAAATAATTATTCACATATCGTGTGCTAATCAATTCAACAATTATAAAAACATTTGTAAATATATGAACTCGTATAATTGTGATAATAAATTTTTTTTTTTCATTTGAATGATTATTTTATCAATATATATATTTGTGGTGATGTTACTTTCCCAATACCAACATGAAATAGAAGAAAAATGAGTAAAAATAATTTTGAAAAAAAAATTGACATATACCTCTAAATCTCATTGGGGATTAACTACGTCCGGCTCGAGTATTGTAGTGCCTATATAGGAGGCGACTCTCCCAGCGTGGTAATTTTTATACTCAAAACTCGAACTCGAGACTTTTGGTTAAAGGAGAAGGAGTCCCCGACATTAGTTAATTTGTACTAAATCATCAATCATTAGTGCTTCATCCGTATTATAATAATGCATGAAATACTGTAAAGTTAGAACATATTATTCATTTAAAGTTAGAAAATCATGCATTTTTAGGTAATTTGTATAAAATTATTAAAAAAGAACAAACTAATAGAAGATAAAAATTTACCACAGTCAATTATTAAAAATAAAATAGATGCTGCAATAACATTCCAAGTAAGTTTTGTAGTTAGAGTCATTTTCACTGCAAAAGAGGAAAAGATGATTTAATTCGCAAATTAAATGATATTTCAAAATTTTTTACTAAATGAGTAATTTATAAAGTCCAATATAGTAAAGCAAAGCATAAAAAAATAATTTTTCCTAATTAATTATTATTTTTATAAAAAAAAACTGTAAACAACAATTATACCTTAATCAGGTCATAATATTAATATGAACAAAAGTACACACTAAAAATGCACCATGGATTTGTTGTTGAAGTATAATTATTTTGTTGAAAATACGAAATATTTTTAGTTACGTATTATATTACTTTCATAAAAAAAAAAATAGAGAAAATTGTTATTAATTAGGCGGTTCTCGTGCTTCTAAAAATGCTTTTTAAAGTCTTTATATTTTAATTTCGTCTAATATTCAATCAGTTTATTCCATTTGAGTTACATTTTAGATTTAACTAATCGGTTACCTAGTCTCTATGTTTTAGTTACATATTATAATTTTAGTTACATATTATATATCGAAATACTAGTCGGTTCTTGTGTTTCTAAAAATGCTTTTAAAATCTATATTTTAATTTCATCTAACATTCAATCATTTTATTCGATTTTAGCCAATTTGGTTGGAAATTAATATAAAATGACCTTGTCACTTTCATTTCCCACTATTCATATCTACGATTTCTCTCTTTTACTCCCTTCACCCAAATCATTGATTCTCCAGTAATTTTCTCGTTTCAACTTTTCAATCTGGTATAATAATAAATTAGATATTGTTGTTTGGTTAGCCGATATAAATGGGTCTCCTTTATAACGCATCCAAAACTTTTGGTCGTTACCTCTATCTACAAATTCTTCCTCTTAAGCTCTCACCTGAATCAGTGGTGGAGGTGGCACATCAGATTCAATCGGCAGTGTGTTAGTCCCCTTTTTCTGGACTCTCAGATTTCTGTAGTTTACCTAGTCCACCGTGCAAAGTCAAACTACGAAGATGAAGAGCCAGACAACATGCAATGACGAAGGAGCTCTTATGGCTCTGTTGGTCCTTTCGCACTTCTTCATAGTCATAGAAATTTCGAGTTTGTCAAGTCTACAAACCATCTCCTTATCATCTTGTTAGTAACTGGTTTATAATTTCATTTTTTTAAAAATTTAAAACTTTTAATTAAATTAATATTTTATGTGGATGAAATTCAATCCATACTTTGTTTATGGATTCGAGCTGTTGGTTAAGATTTTGTTTGGCATAAGAGTAATATGTAGACTTGGGTTAGTGCATCATTAGCTGATGGAACACTCGTCTTGATGGTTTGCTGGTCGTCGTATGGATGAAAGCGTGAAGGCTGCCATTAAGTGTAAGATTACTATGTTGCTTAAGTTATTAGCAATACAATTGCATTTGTTGTTTTTTTCTTTGTTCTGTTGTTTTTTGGAAAGATGCCCATTAATTATTTATGAAAATGAAATGTAATTATTATTGTGTTAATGGAGATAGATTTTTGATTAGCAGATTCATGTTCTTGTCGCGCCAATGAATTTTTGTGAGTCACAGGAATATTTTAGTTATGAAATTTTACTCTCACGTGACTTTCACTTTTTGCATTGACTTAACGGCAAAGTACATAAAATGAGACGGAAAGACTCAACAATGTTAGACAGAATTGAAATATAGGGATTCTCAAAAAGTGTTTTTAAAAATGACTAGTTATATTTTGATTTATATAAAAACGTAATAAATATTTTTTCAAAAAAAATCATTAGTAAATTCCAGCAAACTGATTTTATTACAATTATACTCGGTTTCAAAATCAAAATCAAAACCAAATTGGGCGGGACTTATGTAGGAAAAATTATAATCTTGTCTCGTGTTATTTCAAAATTAATTATTTTGTCCCCATATTTTTTTAAGTATACTATTTTGTTCTTATATTTTTTATTATTATACACTATTGTCATTTTGTACAAAAAAAAAGTTAACAAATTTCCGTTAAATAGCTTGTAAAAAGACAAAAATCCCTTAAATTTAAATTTGTGTTTTCTACCAAACGTAAATAAATTAAAAAAAAGGTAAACTAAAAGGAGCAAAAGGTACCCTCTCTCCCTCTGTCGTTATTACTCACTCTCGTATGCCGAAGCTGGCTCGACTATTCTCTTCAATATGAAAAGATTGCAATTTGTTTGCTCTTTAAGTGTGTAAAATAATATGTGATTTTCGTTTCTTTATCTCCGGAGGCATAGCAATGAAACAATTGCTTGTTTTGTCCCTTTTTTTTGTGATTTTTTTATTTTTATTTTTATTACTATTATATTCTTATTTTTGTATTGTTTATAGGTGTTAGTGTGGAATTATAGGCATTTAGAAGTATTGAATTTGCAAATTAATTATATGGTATTTACTAGTTAAGGGGAAAGGGAAAGGAAGAACATGAAAATGAAGGGACAATTGACAAAAGGGCATTTTGGTCTCTTTTTTTTTAAAATTACAGCAAAGATAGAAATATTGATGGTAGAAAAAAATAGTTGGAAAGAATCAATATATGAGGATAAAAATAGTATATTTTAAAAAAATATGAGAACAAAGTAGTTAACTTTGACATAATATGGGGACAAATTTATAATTTTTCCTAATTTTTATTCTGAACCAAATTAGACCAATGGGAAATTTCAAAAGCCAATTTGATATTTAAATCTCTTTTTTCAAAACTAAGATCCCAAAATGTTTATTGTTATAGAAAATACTAATGCTATGTTTGGTTGAATGAAATATAATCAAAAATATAATGTAATGAAAAATATATTATAATGGAATGTAATTAACATTCCATTGCTATGTCTAGTCATCTAATTGAAAAAAATTTATGGAAGATATTATTATTCTATTTTTATATTTATTTGTAAATATATAATATAATTAGCATACCACCACTGCTCTACCACCACCACCATTACCATTACCACCACTATCACTGCACCATCACCATCAGTACCACTCTACTACCACCATAACATCATTATTAACGCAAAAGAAATATTTGAACTAAAAGTTATTTATTATATTAAGCTATTACGGACCATTTAGACTTATAAATTTGTTTGAACAAAAAAATTAAAAGAAGGTAAGTCAGAAAAAATGTAATTTAACAAAATAGAAAGTTAAACTCATTAAAAATGAATTTGTTTATATATTTTCATTGAATAAATTAAATTACAACATAAAATTATGATTTTTTTTATCTTTTTACTGATTTTTTATTCTATTTTTATTCCTACAATAGAATAGAATTTTTATTTCGTGTTGCATATTAAACACTAAAATATAATTATTATTACTTGGTGATGGTAGAGTGACGTGACGGTGGTAAAGTGGTTGAGGTGATGGTGATGCCACGATGGTGGTGGCAAGCTGGTGATGCGAAATAACCTTGAATATTAGAGTTTTGATTAAGGTGGCTTGACACATCAATTGATATTACACGGTTTGATGTAATGAATATTCCAACATTTTAAACAATGAACAATACAATTAAGATCCCTATTACATTACAGTGGAAAAAAAAAAAATTCAAACATTATAATTGATCATGTAATGTAAGCCCCAAATATTTTTATAAATACTTTAAATGAGTTTGATTATGACAAAATACAAATTTATTTATTCCAGATCATTTCTCCACTTTACCTTTTTCTCCTATAGATATCCAACAGCAAAGCACCCAAATACAGTACAGTTCCTACTACTATTACTACTCCAATTTTGACCTTGGCGTTTGACAACCATTTATATGTTAGGATATCTATCATCCAGTTTGTTAAATATGGGATTAAATACAAATAATGCAAGAGCATCAAACGATATTCTATTTCCTCTTATAGTAGTGTTATCCAGAATATGACATGAAATAAAAAATCCTGCAAATCCAAAATGTTTGGACAGCAATTTCCATTGTCTACCACACCATCTATATCTATACACTGCTTGTTTCGCTCAACAGGATTCTCCAAGCTAATCAGTTAACTTCCTCCATGCTGGTTTGCATCCTTAAAGACCTTCAGGAGTTGGAGATAGAGAGAGAAAACGAGAGATTCTAAGATTTGTCTAATAGACATTTAGCAACAAGCTAGATAATTCCACACAAAATGAATTAGTCGAAAGGATCAATTCGTGGGTCATGCTCACTTGCCATCAACATCCCAGTGCATAGGCATGTCGGACACATAACCTAAGTTAACAGCAAGAATCAGATAATAGACGTTATCATAACAAATAGGTAAAGGATAAAGGGTAAGAAAACAGCATGCTAGATGGAGGAATGCGGGAGAAGGACTACAAGTGGAATAATGATAGATAACGTCAATGACAGAAAGCCATGACCAAAGATACAATAATAATCAAACATCATGTTATCACACATTATATGCCACTAAAAATACATGTGCAAACATGCGCACATGTACACACGGGCAATTCTCTACCCAATATTGGCAGTGAGGCAAGTGAAACCAAACTTGAATGTAAAACAGTCAACTCAACATTTACTTCACATGATTACTCAGTTAAGGTCGTAAGTGTAAGCTATGACGAAAGAATCAGTACATGAGTTCTATGGATCCTAAATTCTATCTCTAACCAGTGACCCAAAACATGCAGTAGCTAGCATAACATTTAACCCTAGAACAGGTTGCAAATTTTCAGTAGATGCAGTATTAAACTTCCACTTGAGGTTTCAGGAATAAGCAGATATTTCTTGTCATATATATTTTTTTTATTTTTTACCTTTCCTGCACCTGAACAGCTTTTACACCTTTGAGTTGTTGGCACACGCAATGGATGATTAGAATCAATTGATAGTGAGATGGGATCAGTGCTCAAGCACACACCACTTGCTGAACATCGGGCACACGCCAGGTATCCTATTCAGAAAATCACACCGACATATAACTTTAGACAAATTAAAGAAAACAAAATGAGACTTTCTCGTTTTTTGCTTCTAGAGTTGTGGTTAGGAAGAAAAAAGAACCTATCCACACAAAGAATTGATATATACCAGTTCCCTGACAATATTTGCATCTTTTCTTCTCTTGTTGCTCAACATTGTTTGCCTCAATTAACATCAGTGCTGAAATGACTCCCACTGCCCCACCTGAAAAGGATGCCACAATGGGATCGACCTGACTGAATTTAGCAATCAGCAAGTTGTTAGTTAAATTCAAGGTTTTGGTCACAGCAAACAGGTAGTGGAATAATAGCAAAAATTTGGTTGCTCAAGGATTAAAATTTCTAATTGGAGGAAAATGGAAATGCTACCTCAATTGCAATGGCAAATGCATGTTACGTATGAAATCCTCATATGAGGTGCCTCCCAGACCTAATTTCAGTTCCAGCTGCAATGTAAAGAACAAATCACATAAATAAACTAGTTGACAATTCAAAGAATTTGAAAAGTTCAGATCTAGAACTCAAGATCAAGAATTCCAATGAATAAGTAATTAAAGCATGGATAAATAACATATTGGAGAATCATTTATCCCACATATATAGGGGGTTAGTAAGAAAATGGAGAAAAACATTCTCTATCCCAATTGCTCTAGCCTGCTAGCCCAGCATATGATTGACTAACAACTCCTCCATTCTCTTCATATTCTCTCCTACCTTCACCTAATCATTTGACCACAAATGCTATTACTTGGCAGACGAATCACAGAGACCCAAACCATGCCACACTCTTATTCATGTCAGATTCTTTAATTTATCATTTTGCTTCTTTTGACAATTGCTAAAATCTCTATCCCCATTACTCCAACATTTTTAGGAAGCCTTCTGTATTTAAATATAATTTTAGAGATTACCACCCAGAAATTGAAGATTAACTTTTCTTTGGTACTTTAAATACAAAGAATCAAATCCAGCAAGGTTAGAAATTGTCACTCCAAATCATTTGATGTAGCTATGAGCTTAGCCTCAAATTTTCACTTCTTAAAAGAAAGAGATACTATCCAATTAATAAGATTATTTTTTTCATGTTCAAGCAGTTTGAAGAACATGAATCACCATCAAATAATAATAGAGGCTTTCTTTAGTTACACCAGACAGAAAGATAGTAAGAGTGGCACCGGAATATTCCACAAATTGCTAGTGAATTGTTAACCCAAGTAAGACCTTATAACATATTGATAAAATCATAGTTAACTCGCTCAGAAAGACTTCTATAAATCATATTATGACACTCTGAATTAAAGCCCACCAAACAAAGTTGATAAATGGTAACAGCAAAAATACACAACATAACCTACAAATGTGAATATTAGCAGAAAACTTGTCTCATTCCCATCTCCATTTTCTTTCACAATACGTATTCTGAACACAATTCTCCTCTTCCAACTAGTTGACAAAAAAGGTCATTTTAACAATAGAAACTTAGCTTCCTACTTGCCTAAGCAAAACAAGAAACACAGGGAAAATGCCTTAGATAATGTAGACTTGAATAAAACAACTTCACATGTAAGGTATAAATGGTTCAAGACATTCATACAAAAACTAAATAAAATATATAGGTTGCCTTAGCAATAGAAACTTGGCTTCCATACTTGCCAAAGGAAAACAGGAAACTCAGGAAGAATGCCTTGGAGGATGTAGACTCGAATAAAATAACTTCACATATAAGGCATAAATGGTTCAACTCATTCATACAAAGACTAAATAAATATATAGGAAAATAGCTGAATGACTGCAATATCCATACTCTCTAAGCATGAAACGATTAAGAAACAACTCACTGTTGGAGCAATTAGTCCACCAAACACGATGACCCCGGATATGAAAGATAAACTTGTTAGGTAAAGCTGCTTCAATGTCTTTGGTGTCTACCTCAAAAGGAAAATTGCATTTAATCAGTCAAAATTAACCTTTTCTAATAACACCATCCTAAGAACAGCAATTAAGCAAAATATGGGAAACAAAACAAGCACAAAACATTTCCTTCAGAACTTACAGATCATTTTTTATAAAACTTGCAAAATGCGATATAATAGAGAACTTCCAAACATACCACATGAGGAAGAAAAGGAATGGATGATGGAATATCAGGCATCTCATATGCCTCTTCCTCTCCGCCTTCCTCATTGACAACTTTCACACTCTTTATACGCTGTTGTACCCGTAGTCTCCTCAACTAACCACAAATAGTCGAACAGAATACAGGAATTTACACGCAAAATTTTCATTTTCATGAGAAATGGATGGGATTTGAAATTTAAATCATGAATAACTGGAGAAATTGAAACCTAACCTCTTCCATGAGCAAGAAGATCTTATTGCGTCTACTCCTTATATTATCTTGAATTTCCTGAAGTTGCATCTGAACAAAATCCTGCACAGTCTCCGGTCCTTCTATAATGCAAAAATTACTAAAAACAAAACGAAAAAGAATTGAAACTCCTCTTCAAAAATTAAATAAAAGAAAGAAAGAAAGAAAGACATATTAATTAATAAAGTTAAACCTGGAAAAACCATCGCCGGAGGAGGGAACCGAGTCGGAGTTGTTGATCGGGGAAGAGCAGCAAATTCGATGACGAGAGGATCGTTTGGATAATAAGAGGAGGCGTGCAGGAGTTGCTTGTGAGAGGATTGACGGTTTAGAAATTTGGTTTGGAGAGAGAAGACGGTAATGATGAGAGTAAAGAGAGAAAGTAGGCATCGTTAAGGTCTGCTTCCGTTTAGCTCGTTCAAAGTGTTTGTATGTCACTTGTCGCTCCCGCAGTGATAATTGATAAAGAAGAGATAAGGAGGATTTTGGAAGGAATCTAAAGAAAGTACGGAAGAGTATCTATGGATCGGCGGGGCTAGAAAAGAAAAAAAAAAAGAAAAAGAAAAGAAAAGAATATAAGAGACGTCACGACAAAAGTTTCGGTTTCATTTTTAGCTGATTGCCTGCATGGTTGTCGCTGCTACCGGTCGCTTTGTTCAAAGATTTTAAAATAGTCTATTTTTGGACTGGTATACCATCCTACAAAATACGCTTTTAAAGAAAATTATTTTGCATAAATTATAATTTGAACGTGTTCAATTTGTAACTCAATTTTCTGAAAACTAAATTATATAAAAAATAATATTCATAATATAAATTTAAATGTATTTAAATAATAAGACATTTCGGTAAATTTATTACACTCAAATAAGAAAATACAGCTTTTCTGCTATTTTTTTAAATAGTCACTTTCTATGAAATATAATTAAAAAATACAAACTAAACGCAGGGATTTTTATAAAATCATACTTTTTCCGTCTATTTACTCTCATCAAACTTCACCATAAATTAGTTCAACTTGACTGTAAGTATTATTTTAGTTTAATTTTAAAAGTAAAAATTTTAAATATTTTATAATAGGTAACCTAAACACAACACGTGTCTCTATGTGTACTCAACTATTCAAAACAGCATCATTATCTATTACCTTCAGAGACATTTTAAAAAAATGTATTAGCTTCATATATTTGTAAACAAGAAATAAACCAAAATAAGAGCCCATACGTTGGCTAGGACATTCTGTTCAGACGCTCGCCTTTTAAGTGTGCGAGTCAATACCACATTGTTTATTAGCCTTTTATAAAAATTAATGCAAGGTTTTTTTTCGCTTTGCTTTCCAAAATAAATAAATAAATAAATAAAATCTCTGGAGTCACAAGAAGACTTCATCCACCTGAAATATAGAGCGTAGAGACTCTATCCTCTCTGGATGCATTGAACATGAATTATTACCATTGCAATCCACCAAAAATCCAGAGTTGCAGATTTTTCTCAGGTGGGAATTCTCTGAGTTATGATCTGGAAATAAGAAACGTGCATCTTTTATTGTAAAAAATCAAAAGTCGCTATTTATAGTACAAAGAAGAAACACCATCAGCCAGTTGCATGGATAATAAGCAATGACTTTTTCCCTCTTATCAAAAATCACATCAATAAAGAAACTAATGCCAACAAAAAGGAAAAGAACAAAAAGATAATAGCTGAAGGAGAGAACCAACTTCCAAATTTGCCATATCCCTCGTAAGGATCATCACACCACTCTAATACCTCTTTACTGCATTTCTTTTTCTCAAAATTCACCAAACCATTTGCTTCTTGTTCAGCTACTCTTATATGAGATATGAGGTGAGGAAAAACCTTCTCATAAGACTTTTCTCCAATTAATAAATCCGAATGTCCAAACCCTTCTACAACAATCCTTTCATGTTGAAAATCTGGTTGGTGCAGTTTCATATATTTGTTAGCAAGAAATGAAGTCTCTGGAGTTACGAGAAGACTCCGTCCACCTGAAATATATAGAGTAGAGACTGCCATCCTCTCTGGATGGATCAAATATGAGTTATTGCCATTACTGTCGACAATAAATCCAGAGTTGCAGATTTTTCTCAGATGAGGAAATGCTGCCATAGGAAGCCTTGTAGAGCTATACTTATTCAACCAATGATGCAATGTTGGACTAACATTTTCATGCCAGAAGGTATTCCCAAATATTCCAGAAAAGATCTCACACTCCTTGCAGGTGCATCTCTCGTATCGCGGTAAGCAATAGGCAATGCATTTCAAGAGCCAGTGCCGAAAACATGTCTTTGGTGTTTCTAACAAAGGCAAAATATTCTCCTTGCCAAGTATAGCCATTGATATCTGCACTCCAAATTGATTTAAATCAGATTCTGAACCTTAAGCCAAAGGGAACTGATATTATTAACTTGTTTTGAACCCTGTCTATCTTCATTAGTCCTAGAAATTGATGATTAAAGTTTTGGTTTAATCCAAAACTTGATTAGTCTTTTCTAAAACCCAAAAATGTTTCCATTTTTAATCCAACTCTTTCTCAGCACAGGACCGGTATTTACCACTGTAAATGAATTCAATAGAAACTATAATGTATGCGGAGAATTTCTCTTACCCGAGAATAAACTGTATGGCCTAAGAAAAAGGAATATGAAGACTTTCCAAATATATACAGCACTTCCATTATTGCGATCGAGTGTTTATTTCTTTTTGCCATAAGCAACAATGTCTGGTTATATGTCTAGATCTTAAAAATTTCATAAAAAGAAAGAAACAACAATGATAAAGAGCTCACTGGGACTAGAGGAAGCCACATTTTGAGTCTGGATAGTGTAGTGAGCTTGAAGAACATTGAAGAATTGGTGCAAGACAAAGAAGCTATGTGGGTTGCAGAGATCTGCCCTCCCATCAGAGCTATATGAATGGCTAACCCTCCAACACAGTGTGCGATTACATGTATCTTCATGCTCATTCCATGCAATTCAAGGATCTTACTAATCGCTGCAAAAGGACAATAATGGCAAGGAAAATGCTATTTAAAAAGTAATGAATCTGTAAAACTCTAAACAAAGTATAATTCATTTTCATTCTTCTTTACCAGCTGGGATATCATATTTTCCAATGTCTTCAATAGTGAAGCTGTTAGCGGGATTCATCGGGTGGAATCTTGGTTGCAGTAGCCATACTTCATGCCCTTCCTCCAGTAAAGTTCTGACCAAGTCATGTGGTTCTGTTGGCAGCCAGTAACTCTCTGTAGAATGACCATTGAGAAGGAGAACTGGACTTAATTGTTTCTCTCCTTTAACCCCCCGTGAATTTTGAATGCCATTCCATTGCCTGCAGCTGATGACATGTCCATCTTCTGGAATATGCATAAGCCAAAGCCAGCATAAAATTAGAAATAAAGAAGAAATAAGAGGAGAAAGAGTCCGGTACTCACATTGTCCATTTTTTTAACGCATAATCACTAAGTGTATTAGTTCAAGTCATTTCAAATCAATAAGCTGATTTCCTTGCTTGTATCTTGGATTTCAAAGGTTTATCAAAATCTTTGTGAAAAATCTGTAAGCTAGCTTGCCCAATACCTGTTTTTATTTTATGGAGAGTGCTGCTTGGATAAGGTTTATGGCAAGAATCACTAGGGATTATGTGAATCCCTCGCGGAATTTGTAAGACATAGGTTCTTACAAAAGTCAATAGTAGAATATATGTGAACCTTCCTGCCTTGTTGCCTCTAAGGGTCATGAAGCTCCTCAGAAGTGCCCAGAAGGAAACTCTAAGCTCTCCATTTAAATTCATCATTTTCTCCCTCGCACCGTTCACCGGAATTTTTTTAAATGTTACATGCAGTGTTGTAGTCTCTTTCCAAGCATATAATGCCAGGAGATACGGATTCATTATCTTCCTTCCCTCAAGAATATATCTGCACCAAAAAGATCCATCAGTTCTACCAAACTGAATAAAATAGCAAAAAAATTTCTTCAGTAAAATAAGAAAGGATTCAACTTCGAACATAAGCATACTTTGAACTAGAGGAAGCTACGAGGAGAAGATGTAAGCGCATATACTGTGTGTAAGGAGTTCTGCAATCCACTGCACACATATCTACTTCCCCATCTATGATGTGTAGTTTATCCTTCTCAATGGCTCTAAACACCATATATCCTCCAACCTTTCCCCTCAACAGAGGATGAGATCCACCAGTAAATGAATTTTTTTCAGCAAACTCTTTCAGATTCTGAGGGTTCATTTTCATTTTGAGATAAGCTACACATGGCATACCACCCACATACCCTTTTATGGTTTCTTTTATCAGAACATTTGAACTGTGGTTATTATCTAAATTTTTATCAGCAAAAAAATGTTGACTACGATCAACAGCTAAAATGTCAAAATTTATACCTCTTTTGCTGTTAAACTCAATAATATCTTGCAAAAGGTGTCTACTCACATGCTCAGCAGCTGTTGCAATTGTAAGAGCTGGGTTTATGCCAACAGAACACGGGATTAAAGAAGCATCACAAATATAGAGGCCTGAGTGAACAGAGGCAGGAGTTTCTGGATCAAAAACCTGACCGCTGTGGTTACAAACCCCAGTAGAAGAATCTAATGATGCATTGCATCCACCTAAAAGATGAACTGCTGTGCTCCTGTACTTAGTCATAAAGAGGATTCCCCCTAATTTCTTGGTGAGCTTTTGAAAGGTTTCAATTTTTCGTGGAAGCAAAGGATCATAGGGTGGACTAAAGCAGATTTTATTTGTGTTTTTGTCTAACATAATATTTCCATCACCTTCATCATATCCCATTGCATTGAGCACAATTGCTTCAGTTGATTTAAAATCAATCATGTACTTCAGCTTGTCAAAAATCCCATGAAAGAACCAGTAACCTGTTGGCCATCCATAAGTAAGGATCTCTTTAAACAGCAGGTTAGGGTAAGCACTTGGAATTACAGCACTCTGCATTGGAAGGAAAAACAGTAAGCATGGAGAGTCTGCTAAAAGGACACAAGAGAATATGCTTATTAGATGCACATAAGTATTTGCTTTCGCATCCTGTAGCATTTTCTTAAGTGTATATTTCATAACCATCCTAGTCCTAGGTTACTGATGAATGAATGATCAATTGATCATGATAAATCTGATTTCACATAGGCTGACTTTTGCTAGGATGAACTGCTAGAATCTCAGGTCATCCAAATTGAATAAGAAAATATACTCACTTAACATAAGCTTCAAGAAATATGAGCATATTGCATTGCAGTTAAACTTTAAGATTATCAAAATTTATGTTGTTAAGTATAGAATACTTCAGAAAATTGTGGTCATAAAATTTCGGGTGCCATCACCATGTTAAGATAGAACCTAAAAACATAACATGGAATATAAAGACAAATCATGTTCTGCAATGCAGAAATTCGCAACCTGGATAGTGAAACCCGATGAAGAAGTGTAAGATGTTGAGATGGATGGCCCTGGCCGTTCTTGAAAAGGAAGCTTTGATATTTGTTTCCTGTTCAATCCATGACCACTCAAGGGGGCTGCACTTCTAGCGAGATAAGCAACTGAATTCCCATTACAGCTGAATCCTGACCCAAGAGTTTTTGGAAGCCTCAATCCTCTCATTTGTGACTGGAAAAGTATCTTAACAGTGCCGAAAACTCCAGCTGTGGGAAATAAGTTAAGAGCATGTTAGAAATTTGACTAGCAAAGTATTGAGCAAATATCTGTAGCTAATATTTCCTACCTGATAGGATTACAAAATCGGAGGTTATATAGTCAATCTCATTTAAGTAAACACGCCATCTCCTTTTTATTATGTCTTGTTGGATTTCATATGTGTTCTTAACCACATACTGAGCTTCACATAGAGTTTCTACAGTACATCCAGCCTGCATCACAAGATATTCTTACTATAAACACATGAAAAAAGGATGTTGGAGTCCATTGATTATTAATTACTTTACATTGTTTAATCAAGTATTTGGAAGTACCAAGAAATCAAGATGTCAACCACACAATACTTTCCATAACTGTCCATAACTGTTATGATCGCTTGTAACTGTCCATAACTGTTACCATTGCTTATATTATCTATGTTTCTTAGTACAAAATCTTCTATTTTCTACCTATGAAACACTTTAAATTTTCAGCAAAAACGGGTATATAGAAGATATAACAGAAACTTGCCTGTATTGCCAAAAGAAGATAATTCTTATCAGTAGAATTTTTGGCATTGTAAGGACACCCCGCAAGGCAATTTCCACATGCTAAGCAGCTATTCATCTTTTGAAGCTTCATTGAATTGGATGGAGAATCTTCAACATCAAAATTTATACTGAGCTTGATTAAATTGTCGAAAGTTTCTTCATTCTCTGCTCTAGCTATTTCTGCCATTACATTGGCAATTGGAAACATGACTGGAACATTTTGTGTTCTCAGCATTGCTGCTGCAGAAGCTTCACAAATATCCCAATCCCTTTCCCATTCCTTTGGCCATTTCGGATTTCTTCTAGCACGAATTGGGGTTGGAAGCATTACTCCTGCATTGACTAGTGAACCACCGCCTAGCCCACAAGCAACTGCTGCTAGAGAATCATTTTGTTCATATACCTAAAATTTTTCATGTATGTCAATAAGTCACCAACTATAAGACAATAACAGGTAAAAATGCTCTGATTTGGTTGGGCTTTCAACTCCATCTGATTATAATTTTCTATCAATTTTGTAGTGACTTGATGATTTTTATATAATTCTATATCAATTTGTAGCGAGTTGATTACGTCTTTGTGTGAACAGAAACGATATTGCATTAATAGCCTCAAATGTTAAAAGATAATAGCCTGCCCGGCTACCTTATCTTTTATTGTATGCAAAGCAAATGTGATAAGATAGATAAATAAAGAAAGACAATTAGGAATAACCTGAAACAAAGCATCTTTTGGACCAAAACTGAAGCCTGAAGGCTGATCCATCCTCATAGCTGAAATGAGCTTTAAACCATCAGTGGGGAAATCCTCAGCTTTCCATCTTCGACCTCTTTCCATTAAACAAACCTTTATTCCTGCCATGGACAGTCGACAGGCAGCAACAGAGCCGCCATATCCAGAACCTACAACTATAGCATCATAACCATCTTTTCTGTCTCCAAATCTTCCTTCTAAATTGCCTTGTGTCTTCATTTCTTCTTCTAACTCCAGTCCAGAATTTTTATTCCAGGATCAAGCTCTTTTACGTCAACCCTAATATTCGTACAAACATAAAAAGGGAACAACTAAAAGGAGAGGCCAGTTGTAATATGAAAGTAAAATACAGTTAGCCCTTAATTCTTAAGGAGAGGCCACTACTTTCTTATGTTTCCATGGAATAAATTTATTCAGGATAAGGCAAATGTAAATGATATTTGTAGACATACACTGTCTTGTAGCCTTGTTATAGAAACGAAGAGGATCAGAGATTATTCCTCTAATTGTCAGTGAATAAGTACGACCACATATTATTTTTCAAGAGAACATATCAAAATAAATCTTTTTTCAAGAGAAGAAATCCAAATCAATCTCTTGGTAAGTAAACTATAGACTGCACCAGCACTAAAATCTATTTGTTATAGAGAAGAGCAAATAATTTTTTTTTAATTTTATTAAACTGAAAGAAGAGAATTACAGTGTTGACTTTTACATTTTACATTAAGTAATTCAAACTCTTGCTATTTCAACTGACTTCTGGAGGGCCTGCAGCAGACTTCTCATGATTCTGGGTTCACCAGGAGGTGATTTATCCTTTAAGGGTCCATTCCTTATGGCTCGGAAAATAGGACCTGAACCGGCAGTTGCTGGGAAAACCAGACAATCAATGTACACTAGTACCTCAGTCTTCCCATCTCCAATTTCAATGAAAGCCAACCTAACTCCACCTGGTATTTTATCTACCTGTTATATTGAAATGCATCAGGCCATTAAAGCAAGAATTTTCTTTGTTTTATTTGTATAATCCATAGAGTGTCAGTAAAAGCAAGTAATATTGCAGATCGTGGTTGTTAAAATTGCTTTTTTAACCTAAGATCAGAAAGGGGTTCATAAAATTGAATAGTAAACTAGAATTGTAACTTGTTAGATTTTACATATCACAAAAAAATAATATTTTAAAAAATAAAAATAATATACAACAACAACTAAGCCTTAACTCAAAACTAGTTGGGGTTGGCTATATTAATCCTTCGCTTCCACTCTACTATGTCCATAACTAGATTTACACTAATGTACTAAGATCGTAGAATTGTAGGATTGTAAAACCACAAGATCGTAAAATTATTCAACAATTTTAACTTCTTTCGAGTGATTTTATGCAATTTTATCCAAGCTATGGTTCTACTCATTGTGTAAAATCAATTCCTAAGTTTGACTCATAAGATCGTAAAAGTCAAAACAAGGTTTTAACAACCACGTTGCAGATGAATACCAAAATCAAAACAAAGTCATTGAATTGAGTAGATTTGAATCAAATGATGATGATGATGATGATTATTATTATTATTATCATTGCCAAAAACAATGTTGAGATAACAAGGAACTTTTTGGACACTGCAGCTTACAAATCACACATTAAGGGTCTGCTCGGCAAATTTAGCTGTTCTAGTAGTTTTTAGCTATTTTAATAGTGGTTAGCTGTTAAATATTAGATGTTAGTGGTTAACGATTATATAGCGGTTTAGAATAAAAGCATTCGGTACAAATAACTATTTGATTACCTGTTTAATATAAAATAACAAAAAAGAATATGAAAGCGAGGAACAAGATAAAGACAAATGATGGATAAAGGTAACTTTAATGAAGATAACGTTTCATAAAACACTGTCTCAAACTCTAAACGCTAGGATAGATATTGTATTACCAAACCTTATAATTACTTAAGATAGTGTTTTAACCCTATCAAAATATTAAACAATACCTCAAACACTGCTGCCGAACAGGGCATAAATGAGCTTTAGAGGCAGTCGGCAGAGTTTCCAAGAGGTGATTTTTTCAATTTAGTAGTAGTCACAATCATATATACAATGCTCTGGATATATTCATATACAGGGTTCGTAAACATAGAAAAGTGCAAAAGGTATGCTAGGAGTCGGAAGAATCCAAAGCTAAGAAGAGAACAAGCAAAAGTAACCCTATCTGCATAGAAAGACCCAATAAAGGACTAAAGAGGATGAAAGTAAATTAATGTCTCATACAGTTTATGGACAAGAACCCCTACTAAACGTATATATCATGCCAAAGAAATATCAACAAAAAGACCCTGAGAAGTTCAAAACAATAAAGTGCCGGCCAAGATTACAAATTCAATTTAAAAAATCATATAGTTCGTTAAAAACTAAAAGTCGCAGTGCTCAGATAGAGTCCATTGTGTGTTTGCCAACATAACCTCTATTCGAAAACCCACATACTGAACTTAAAAAGCAGGCTTTTATGCACTAAAACTGAATTAAACGACTCCACCTTCTGGTTTAGTTATCATGAAATGGAAGAGAAAAATTTTAACTGACCTTTAATGGCACTGGTAATGGTAGATTAGCTCCTTGGCAAAGACTGTTTGCCCACTGTTGTACACACAAAAAGAAGCACATATTATTCAAAAAGAACAACGACAAAAGAAAAAAAAATTCAGTTCAATTTTCATAAATATTTTATCAGTGACCTGCAAATCATATAGTTTGAACTAGAGAAGAAGAGGATTAGGAGACCTGGAAGAGCAAGGTCTCAAATCTTGGTAGGTCAGTATTGGAGGGCAATTTCAAAGTCCCCAAAGAGACGCCACCATCACCATCGTCATCTGCAGCCACAATGCCGTCATTTTCCGGCGAAGATTTGGCCACTGCTGTCAGATTCTGGTAACCAAGAAGTTCAGATGGCCTGAAGAACCGATTCTTGTCCTCTCTTGTGGTCATAATGCATGGGCGGGAAACAGGCAGAGAGGGAGAGATTTGCATGTGGGAACCCACACGGGTTGGGTATAGGAGCTGACTCATTGCACACGCCATGGCTCGTAACGGCAACTCGCAACTGAACTACCAAAGCTTATTCCGAATAGGGAGAGAGACAGAGACAGCAGATTTTACGAGATAGATTTCGATAAGATTCTCCAAATTTCTAAGGTAGGAAAACAATCCTTCGCATTTAGATTAATAATTTTATAATTAGAAAATTAGATGATTTTTTTTATCGCTTCAGAAATTCAATGAGGTTATTTTTAAATGTGCAAGCTCAGGCTCACTTAGATGGCAAGTCAGAACTCCAGTCAAATTAGACCGTCAAGCTCAGACTGGTGAGACGACAAAAATGAAAATAAAACCAAAAGAGTAGGAAAAATGAAATTTTAACTAATTATATGATCTTGTTCCAAAAAGGAAAACAATCAACTAATATATGAAGATTCATCAAGCCTAAATCTGAATATGGAAGATTGAGAAGAAAATATCGGACATTAGAGGAGTATCAAGTATCACTTTGAACATTGAAAAGGGTCCGAAGCTTGAGATGGATTTTGATCGTTTTCACTTTTTTGCTTTCAGGTGTACTCACCACCTGTTCAATTATAACTTCAACTTGTACAAGAAATTGCAAATCTCATACAACGGCAGAAAGAGAAGTAACTCCTACAAATCTTAAGTCTTTACAATGAACAAGCTTTTTTTGGCATCAGACCATTACGATTAACAAGCTTCGAGCTTAGATGAACAAGCTTCGAGTTTAGGAAGGAGACTTCGCCAAGCATCTGCAATGCTATTAGCCAACCGTGCCTGTCCTTTAGAAAATTCATGGAAAGCTATCCTCATTTCCAGTGTTTTCTGTTCTTGAAAACGTACTATCTCTTCATTCATCATTCTCACGATGTTCTCAAATCTTCTCGTTGCTTCTTCACTGTCTGCCTTCAACTGCATCACAGATAACTTCTAGCGTTGGACAACCAATATATAATAAGTGAAGTGATGAATACTCATATCATATGGGATTAAATTACCTCCTTATACTCAATCTCAGCCTCTCCAACTTTATCAGATCGCGTCAACATGAGCTTGTCACTGGAAAAAAAGTAGATCTAAATTAGGAAGTCCAGATATCCTCTGGCCCATCAGCAAAAACCTAATAACTACGAACTAGATGAATAATCTCATTTGCAAACAATCCACTTCAGTATTTTCCAAGTTTTTGTTGCATTGAGTAGTCAAGAAAGATTCCAGCTTTCATCCAGTTTTAACAGCTAAATAACATATATTAACAATAGTAGAGGAAGGTTCTGGCTATTCTTGAATTTTTCTTCAACAATAATCATGCCCTGCAGTTCCATTTTATGTTAGAAGACCTCCTTTAATGCATTATCTGAAAAATATTCCTGAAAGAGTAAATACGGTGCTCAAGAAACCTGAAAGAAGAGAATCTAATTGTAACATTTACCACCAGGAAATAATTCCATTTACTAACATGTCCACACATGCTCTTTTAGAGTTGCATGGCTCAAAACATCATAGCTTTACAATCATCAGTACAAAGGCAATAGCAGAAATATGCAATAGCAAAATCTATTTCTTGCAACATCAATTGTCATTTTGATAGAATACCACTTTTATTTCTCGTCATATCCATGGTAATTTTACAAGTAAGGACCAACATAATGAAGTTAAGGGAAGAAAAGAAATAGGTAGAGGGTCATACAGATTTATCTCCTTCAATTTAATTGTTTCAGCCAGCTCACACTGATGCCTGAAGGCATTGGCCCTCTCAGCTATGGTAGCCTGTTTTGGGAACATAGAACAAAGATCAGCTTCTATACTGAGGATTAGGACCAGAAGAAAGAAGAAAATAGGCAACTAAAACTCACCTTAATAGATTGTACGGCACGAACATAATCTTTCAAAGGTTCTTCAAAATTCATTAAAATTTGATGAGCCTGCAAATTTAAGGGATCATAAATGCTCTGATTAGCATCAACCTGATCAACACTTCAATCAAAATCTACAGTTACAAAACAGAAAAAAGATTTCAGATGTGGAAGGATGACACTCCAACTTAAATCCTACCTCCTTCTGCAGCCTGATGGATAGTGTTTCTGACTTAGCCCCAAGGTCAGAGAATGCCTTCCCAAGGGCATCTCCTTCACAAGCACCAAGGAGTTTGGCTGCCTTCCCAAAATCTGCTAGAGACTGCCCCAATTCTGAGGAAATAGACAACCGTGTTACAAGTAATCAACTATACTCTAGTATTTCTAAAGAAAGGGGGGGGAAAAAGCAATCACGAGGGAATGCATCATAATAAAACATTGTTTACCTCTGTGCCTCTTTACAAGACGATATGCATGCTTCTGAGCTTCAGACAAGTGATTTTCAAGTTCGAAGATATAATTTTTCAACTTCTCATATTCAGGATTCGACTCCTCAACTGGTTTCTCCTTCCCAAGAACAACATCACTAACTTTAGATTGAACATCCTGTAAAAAGTTTAGACCATTATTGGTGTGATCAAATTGCATCACTTTACTGTTTGTGGGTACATTTAAAAACTGCAATTACTGTTCAAGTGGAGAGAAGTGTTGTGCCATGTTAAACTTAACCAACAGGTAGGAAAATCGATTCCCAATTAAAACATACAGCATTTGATCCCAGGACATATAAACGACATTCTGTGGATCTAGCTTGAATGTTTCACTTTTGAGTAGTTAAGTATTATCTCACAGCATCCACAGATGTTGCAGCAAAGAACACTGTGAACTAAGACGTACCCATCCAACATATATTTATACAAGTCCTGATATCACAGTATCTAAAATTCGATGGGAACTTTTGAATCAATGACTAGATAAGAAACTTCACTAATGGTTGCAGGCCTAGCGGCAATGTTAAATTAACATTGTCTGCCATTAAGAAATACCAATCACCATAGAACATTGCAGAGTTCATGATACCTTGAATATTTGCATCAAATCAGCTGGCTTCTTCTTAAAAATACCAGTCTCATGAGCCCTTAATCGCTCCATTGTCTGGATTTGGAAAATAGGTAAATAGATTAGTACCAAGATAAAACACACTTACCTAGCAACATCAGATACATTAAAAATACTAGAAGGAAATGCTGCAAAATTCCATCAATATGAAACCTTATATTTAGGAGAAAGATAAAAGAAGCACGCTATTAGTTTACATTAAAATAAGGTTAATTGAACCAGTATAAGTAACTTCTTCCTGAAGTTAAGAACATAAAAGGGCAGAAATCCACATTTTGAAATTAACAGTGATGAGCAACATCAGCAGCTGCTTAACAAGATGATCAATTAAATGTGATAATTGACTTCTCTATTTAACACCATCAAGAGCTTATTACAAACAACTAGTAGCTTGATAATCCTAGGCTACTTGGTTAGGCAGTTCATGTCAAAGTAATGTGCAACACTGATTGAAGCATATAAACATTGATCATGGAAATGTTCAAACCATAAAAGGCATTGATCATGCATTTTGGTCAGATTTAAGGTTGAAAAATTCAAAGGAATCAATTTTCAAGTCATACGCATGTCAACGAAACAGAACCTTCTATATTGAAGCCATATCCTCATCTACCTTTGTTTAATGAGAGTTTCTTTTTCTTTTTTCTTCTTTTCATTTGTTTTTTTCTTCTGTTCTTTTGTTTTGTTCTTCTTGAGAATAAGTACATCAGAGATTTCAAATTTTGATTAATTAAATACTTAGCAGAACAGGAATGTTTAGCAAAGACGGTGTGCATCAACAGAAAATAATTGTACCAATTTGCTGTATCTAGAAGCCCTAGTGAAACACCTAAACCTTTGGCTGGGGGGGGGGGGGGGAAGCCCTAGTGATGAAAACACCTAAACCTTTGGCTTGGGGGGGGGGGGGATAATATAACAGTGAGAGTATGGGGGGGGGGGGGGGGGATAATATATACAGTGAGAGTATGGGCATGTGCATATGTTGGTCGTGTGAGTGAAAGTCAATCCAAACACGGAAAACTGGGAGGCACATATGATAAATGAACTGATGTTTTCTAATGGACTTTCACCAAATCAAAAACAATGCTGAATTGTATTACTCAGCACCAAATACAAAATAGTTCACCTCTTCATCTGCCTGCAAGAACGTTCTCAGATCCTCACTTTGTTGTAGCTCATGGTGTGATGCTATCCTATTCACAAATATATCTAGTGCTTGACGCCTCAACTCGATAAATTCAGCACTGAAACGGAACTTTTCTGCATTAAAGAAACTAAAGTAAGTGCAAGTTGAATTTCAAAACGCGCCAAACATATTCCTCATGCGTCCATTTTTCCATATTTTTCCTTTTAAATCACATATTCACATTGGTGTAAACACGGTATCAGACAAAAGAATAGGCTACACCAGAATGTGAAGCCTCATCATTAGTGCATGGGAGACCAAGCCAGCAAAGACACATGTCAAATGCATGTCAACACTTGCAGATTATGTTATAAGTTACAATTGCCTTGCAATTACCATATGAAAGCCTTTCCTATAGATACTGACCAAATGATATCTAGCAAACAGTTGCAGAGTGATGCCAAAACTTAAAAAAGTATTAGTGGTAATTTTACCAAAGCAAATATTGCTAGAGACAGAACAATGTGACAGTATTAACTCTTCTGTGAAATACTGTGCTCTTCATTTGTTTATGCATATTTCAGGGTAGCATGACAAGATGAGCACACAAGTAAAGACTCAACTCCGAATGGTGCAAAAAGTATTCCAAAAGAATAATTAAGCAAGTGATTGAAAGTGCACGTCAAATGCAAGGATTCATGGATAATTTCGTGATGTCAAGATCTTTTAGATGATTTGTTTCCTTTTGCCATTCTAATGCTCGCAAACAACTTGGCTAACATCTAAGGGTGCTACGATGCTTAATTTCATGCTCCATATTTGGCCAAAAGTTGTCTTCTCTTTCATGAGGTCTTAATCACTAATATTGTCACTTTAAGAATAAGGAGAACAATAAAGACAAACAAAATTGGGCTTCAATAAAAGTTACAATCTTCTGGGTTAAAAACCGCTCTTTTGATTGAAAACAAAAAAATAACAAGTTCATCCATTTTTTTTATCGGTTCTCTTCTTCTTCCTTTTTTCTTCTCCTTTTCCTTCTTATGCTACCGACAAGATGTCTCAATAATTTTCTTCTTCCGAGAAGGATCACAAAAGGATAAACTTTGATGTGAAAGACATCGGCTTCTTTTGATGAAGCAGTTTGTATGAGTTTGTTCGCTAAACATGAGATTGGCTTTGTCAATTTGATATCCATCTTTGGCCCAGTGTTATCAGAATCTTACGATTTGATTCAATTTTCATGCTAAACGATTCAATCTTACGGGTCAATCGGTATGGATCCTGAATTTTACGATTCGAGTCAATTCTCAGGTCCAATGATTCTCTTACCCAACAAAACCAATGGAAAAGTTAATACAGGGAAAAAAAGAACAGAAGAATATAGTTATATTAGAAGATGGAGATAATGAAGGGCTTGAACTTGAAAATAATAATGAATAAATATGGATTTTGATAGGAAATTTTAATGGCTTGATGGTTTCACTTTGCTTTATATTAAAATTTTAACTTCATAATTTGATATTTTGAACTTGACAACTACACAAGTCATTAAGTTCTCTTTCATTTTGTGTTTAGCAAACGATTTAGAATTGAAATTTATATAAATACATTATAAGCAATTAATTTTTAGTATTTTTTTGACAAAATTAATGGAAATATATCCATAAATAAATATGTATTTATTTTTAATTAATTTTGAAAAGTTATACTGAATCTTACGATTCGATTTGATTCTCAATTTTCGATTCTAAAATAAAAATTTCAATTCTTGATTTGACAACTACAATAATATTTGCTCAAGCCAGATCCTCACCTCAATTGTCAATTTAATGAATAACCAGAAGAAGCTATTAGGCATGCTGATAAAACTGTGAAATACGTGACTAAAAGGAGCTACTCCATAAAATTTTCAATGATGTGTAAGAAAGGCACTATAAATTACAGATACCACCTCTCTTCACGACAAATGCATGATGAATAATAATAGATTGAAAGAAAAATCAACAAACAAAAATGATGATTTCCATTTCTTACCTACAGCACTCTTCTCTGGAAGAGGAGGAATAAAAACACCTTTGTACTTCTCAAAAAGACGGTCTCGTAACCAGACAAAATCACTGTAACGTCGAATAACAATCTTTTCAGGCCCTTGGTATTCTGGAAAGTTTGTCTGCCAAAAGAACCCCACAAACATTGAACTATGACTTACAATTATAGAAGAATTTGTAAGATTTCTATATTCCACGTTCAAATGCAAAAAACTGAGTAAAAAATTTCCAAATGGAAAAAAGAAGTAAGAAATTGATAATATCATCAAAATTGATAGTATCATCAAAATAAAAATTGTCTCACACACTTTCTAATATGAGAATAAGAAATACTTGCTTAAACAACTTGCCAAAAACGTTTCAAATGTATGTTTAATTGATACAGGCATATCGTAACCAAGAAGCTATGGCATCAAAAAACAAAAACTAAGATCATACTAATCTAATGCACGATCAAACTTTAAAAAAGAGGCATTCATGTGGCATTCAAGACATGACATTATATAGACTGAAAAATTCAAAAGATTACCCAAGTCCTAAATCGCAAGAAATTTAGAGACTCGCTAACAAACACCCAACAAAAGCATTTTAATTTGTAGTTATATATAGGTTATTAAAAACTTGACAACCAAATTTCGGAACACAAAATCATAATAAGTAATAAAGTAATGAGTAAGTATCCTTCCACGGGAATTGTGTATTAAGTACTAAAATTGTATTAATTCACTATTATTTCAATGGCAATATGTTACAAAGAAAAACCTTCATGCTCTCCCTTCTCTCCATCTTCATTAAAATTTTTTTTTTTTTTTTTTTCTTTCATCAAAACACAAGAATCGAGCATGTAAATATGGGAGAGAGGTTGATTCTTGTCTTCTCTGACTGCCCGTTCTTTTTCTTCTTTTTTTTTTTTTTTTTTTTTTTGAGCGTGATTCTGTTCTTCTCTGACCTGCCCGTTCTTTTTTCTTCTTTTGTGTTTTTTTTTTTTTTTGTAAATTCTTTTTTTTTTTTTTTTTTTTTTTTGTAAATTCTTATGTTTTTTATCAAATAAATTATAGATTTATATTTGCTTGGCACAAATATATATTATTTATGTTTCTTGCAATTTCTTTCCATTTTGCATTGAACACCAAGTAGATGCACTTCAGCTTTCACCAAAAGCAGCATAAGAATGTCAAAACTCATTCACTCACAGGACCAATATGATAAAATTTAACACTTCAAATTTTGATTGACATGTCTGCGGACATGCCAATCAAAATCTCAAACCAAAACAAATCCTTTAGCAAACTGGAAACTGCTCAAAAGAAGGAAAAGAACAAGAAAATTAGCGAGATAACCTTGGTAATGACGCGATAAGAGATGTAAGACTGGACGCCATTGCCTAATTTGACAGGATCAGTCACCGAAACTGATAAGTAAGGCGGTGATGTAGGAGATCTAGGGCTAAGCGAAGACCCCGAAGAACTTCTCTGCTGCTCCATTTTCACACAAACCGAAAAAAAAAAATCAACAGTTTAACTAATTTTCATATAATTAATCGCATTTGCAAGCAGAGAATGTAACCGGAGAGAGCAGGGTGGTAGATTGGTAATTTACCGCAGTAATCATGGCCTAATTGTTAAGGGAGCCAATAGAACAAAACTGAGATTGTTGGACTCGTTTCTTTCTTATTCGGCAAGCATACGTTATGTGGTGACTGGCGAAGCGAGCGGTTCCGTCCGGAGACAAGAGGTGGAGGGAGATACCTGTAGGTTCTCCGTCAACACAGTATAACTTAAGAGTCGCGTTGCGAGCAATTCAATGAGATAACAGTAGCTTTAACCGTAAGTCTGTGGATGGTTTTAGTCGCCCAACCTGGCGTGTAGTTTTTTTTGGCCTTTTGGTGAGGATTGCCGAAACGTGTAACATGCACCTGGGCCAACATGGATCCATTAGGATCAATTGAATTGCAAGTTTTATGGCCCCCTTTGTCCCACAGATTAGTTTAGGAGTGTAATTCCAACGCTAGAAATCGAATGACCACTCTTCTTATTGCATTCCAAAATATTTTAACATTTAAAATTCGTTTTATTTTATTTTAAATATTTTTTTTAATTTAAAATTTTCTATTAAAATTCGATTTGAAATTCGATAGTTCCAAATTTTCTTAACTATAAATGCAAATAACCTCTGAAAACATACTTTACTTTACGATGTAAATTTTTGAATTGAATAAGAAATAACTACCATATGCTTATATTTATATAGTAAAAAGACATAATTAAATTTCAAAAATAATAGATTAATGTCTCGTATAATCGCTATTCAAGGCACGGTCTAGCCTTTCCCAATGTTCAAAAAAAAAAAATATCTCATATAGGTGGAATACATAATTTAACTTTGAAGTTTGAAAAAAAAAAAAAAAACCTTGTAATGTCTCATATAATTGCTATCCAAGACATAGTCTAGTCTCTCTCAATATTCAAAAAAAAAAAAAAATCATGTGGAACTTCTCAATAGTTCAAAAAAAAAAAAAAATCATGTGGAACACATTGTAAGTTAAACCCCATATAACAAAAAAAAAAATTGTAGCGTTCTCGAACTTCTCTTAAAAAAAAAAAAAAATCATGTGGAACACATAATTTAACCCATATAACAAAAAAAAAAATTGTAGCGTTCTCAACTTCTCTTTTTGTGATAATCCACACCTCGTGACAAAAGAAATAACAAATTTTTAAGGTTTTTGGCTTTCATGTGTAAAATATTAATTTAATATGTAATTAATACAACTTTGAAAATAATAATTTTTAGATTTTATGGTTTTAACTAACTTGGTATGTTTTTCAGACCAGGAAAAAGAGTTTTTCCTTAACCTATTGAATAGTGGTTGACATAAAATTCGAATATCTTTCATGAAGTCAGCAACATAGTTCAGACATCTCAAAAAGGTTTGTAATTGATTTTTATCAGTAATTTTATCAGAAAACTTTTCAATAAAATTAATTGATCTGTCAATCGATTTAATAGTACCTTGAAAAATGTCATGTCCTAAAAATCTTATTTTAGTTTGAAATAGTTTAACTTTTGGAGAAGAAACAACTAAACCGTTTCGCGTAATTATATTATAAAACTTTTTCAAATGAGAAAAATGTTGATCAATATTAATTAAATAAATAAGTACATCATCTATGTAAACTATTGAAAACTCGCGATAATTGTTAAAAATATCATTCATAATATTTTGAAATTCATAAGGGGCATTTTTTAGACCAAATGGCATAATATTCCACTCATAGTGACCAAAGGGAACATTAAAGCCAGTTTTGTATTTATCATATTCATGTATTTGTATTTGTCAAAAACCTGATTTCATATCAAATTTAGAAAATATATTTGCACTATGTAATTTTTTGAACAAATCTCTTTTATTTGGTATAATATACATAATCTATTGTAATATTTTATTTAAAGGTTTGTAATTAATAACTAACATGGGTGTTCCTCTTTCTATTTTTGCCGCATTCTAGATATAAAAAGCTGAATAGCTCCAAGGAGACTTAGATTTTCTAATTAATCCTTTATTTAATAAATCATTTATTTCTTTGTAGCAATATTCTTGTAATTGTTTATTCATTTGTATAGCTCTAGATCTAGTTGAAATATTTTTCTCATCAAAATTTTTACATAAGGTAAATGAACTATGTGTTGTTTTCTAGACCAAAAGGCGTTCGGAATATTTGAACATACTTCTTTATTTAAAATTTCTTCAAAGTCTTTAATTTTTTGTTGTATGTGAATTTGTTGTAATTGATTTTCAATTCTAATGTTATTAATTTCTTATTTCAAATAGCTAATATGTTTTGTTTTTGTTTAATAAGATTAATTTCTTTATATATAGAAATATCATGTGCAGCACTCAAATCCTTTTGTCTAATTGGTTGCATAAATTTAAAACATATTTGATTATTTAACATATTTGTTTTTAATCCTTCATTATCTACTTCAAAGGGTGTTCCTAGTATACTCCTGTAATAAGATTTTTAACTAAAATAAAGGGCGTTTTAAAATAAAAACCGTTAGCACATATTTTTGCTTTTGTTAATTTGTATTCTACTCTTAACTTACTACCATCAGCTGTGTATAGCTTTTCTTTAGTTTTTTCATAATATATAGTTGGAATTAATCCTTCTTGTAAACAGTTTTAATCTGTGTCAGAGTTAACTAATGCAATCGTAGTTAAATAAAAATCATTATTAATTACTATTTAACTAAAACTATCCATTTCTGAAAACTTACTTTAGATATTACATTAATAAACTCATCATAATACAATGTTTCAGCTAAATTATTTATTTTCTTATTTTTCGAGGGTTCTGCTTGAACATCCATAATTTTATTAACTTGTAACTGAATAATGTCTTGTTTAATTTTATTATGTTCCTGCTTTAGTTCTTATATCTCTCTTTTAACTATTTTAATTTCTCCTTGTAGGTCGGCTAAAGAAGGGGAAAGTTTCTCTTTATTACTATTGAACCTACTAAATATTTCTTTTAACTAATTGGGCTCATATTGTTTTTCGTCTTTGTGTGATATCACATCTTTTAGTTTTAACAAATATTGCCTTTTAACGTCATTATCTTCAATTTTATCTATACAGTTTAAAAGAAAATATGTTTCTCCAGTGACTACATTTATACTATTTATTTTACAAATACAGGGACCATCGCATTCACAGTTATCTATATCACTTGAATTATCTTCTGAATAACTAGATTCCATTTTATATAAATCTTCAGGGTTATCACTTATTTCTAAATCTGTTTCTGTATTGGTGAGCAACAAACTCATCATTTGCTGCTTTAACTTATCCGATATATCTAAATTATTTATTTTTTCTCTCATCTTGCATTGTGACTTATAGTGTCCTACCTTTCCACACTTGTAACACACTATTTGTCTTTTACCTTTTCTTTTAATTGTATTCTTCTTAGCTGTCTGAGGAGGTTTGTTATCCTTAAGGGTTTTACCTCGAAAAGTTCTAGTTCTAAAAGGCTTCCTATAGGGATTTTTCTTATGTTTCCTCTTATTTCTAGCAGAAGGAGGATGTAACATTTCATATCCATACCAACTACAGAAGCTTGCTAATTCTTTTCTACTTTAATGGAACTCACTCTTCATTGTTGCCTTTAACTTAAGATCTATACATCAAGCTAAACCTTCACTATTAACATGATTAATAATTTCTCCATATGTTTCTCCATATGTGAGGGTATCGTAAGGTATAAATCCACTGTATATCCCTCGTATTCTCGACAGTACCTTTTCAGCAAATAACTTAGATAATCCACCAATAAATCTTTCTTTCCAAAAGGCATGACTACAATCCTGCCTAGTAAATACCTTTGTAAGAAGTACATCCTTATACCATCTAAAATCTTGTAACTTTGTCTAAAATCTTGTAACTTTGGACAAGTCAAATTAGTTAATAATTTAGAGGCTCTAGCTTGATATTCTCTCGGTTCACCTATAAAGATTTTAGTAATTGAAAAAATTAATGTATTAACTGCATCTTGTATAGTCATATGTATTTGATGTTGATCTTCTTGTTTAACTATAGTTTTAGTAGCATTTAATATTTTTTGTCTTTCTTCTAAAGAAAGACAGTTATCCCACCATCCTTTTAATTGACCAGTAAATCCCGAAATTAATATATGAGCTACTGCTGGATTAATATTACCTTTAGACTTATAGGCTGATGAGGCCATAATCATTTCTTGTAACATATTTATTATTTAGTATTCTAATAATCCATTTATATTTCATTCATTAATTGATTCTCCATCGTATCTAGCCTGAGTCATGACAGATCTATCTTCATATTGTATATCTGGAGGTGTTGGCCTAGGGTAGAAATTTCTAGTTTTGGGCAACGGTGCGTTATGAATCTTTTGAATAATAAAATTTTCACTAAATTGTTCTTTTAATTGACTAATATCTGTGTCAGATTCTTCTTCTTCTTCTTCAAATTGTTTGTCTTTACTTAATACCTTAATACTAGAAGAAGAGAAAATATTCAAATAATTTAACCTATCTTTTCTAACATGTCTTCTGTTTTGTCTAACTTAACTATTTGTTCAGCAGGTATTTCATGTGGCTTAAATATTGGAACTTCTGGTTTAGTAATTGATAAGGGTCTTTGGATAGGAGAAGTATAAGATACTGGAGTTTAGTAATTGATAAGGGTCTTTGGATAGGAGAAGTATAAGATACTGGAGTTTAGATTTCCAATCTATCTAATTGTGACGCTATTGTGTTGAGTATTTGGTTTGTGTAATTGTTTTATAATTGAACATTTTTAATATCTTTTAACGTATGATTTTTCTTATCATCGTCTACTGTATTTTATCATCTTAAAAGGAGATCTTATAACTATCTGATGTTGATGACCAAATTTAATTTCTTCTAGAGGAGGATGAACGGATGTAACGACATCATTAGATGCAGTTATCCATTCCTTAGTTACCTTTTGATTAACTAAGTGTCACGACCCGACTCCATGGGCCGGACCGGCACTAGGGCCCAGGTAAGCTTAAGGCCCCCGAGACCCGTAGTAAGCCTGAAACACTAGAATCATTATCTCGGTATAAATTTCCACATTCAGCCTATATGATTATGAAAAATAAACCTCAATATATTTTATTATTTCTTGGCCCAAGTTTGTCTTCTACAGCATTCCATAGTTCGGGCCCAATTTACAATACATCACATTCTAATATGGGCTTATAGAATTATTTTGTCTAGGTTAATATACGACTAAGTATATGAAAATCCTACAACTGCGGAGTCACTAACTCTTTGGTATACATAGTTTGGTATACACATAATTACATAGTAAAATAATTTAAAATAATTATGGAACTATGGAAAATTTCTCTATTCCCCTACGCCGAAGAAACATAGCCTAAATCGGTAGTTCCTGAAAAAAAAGAATCAAACA